AGATTCTTGATTTGAAGTCCCAGCCGTTGAAAATACAAGGCCTTAGCCACGTGGATTTAAAGTTTTAACGATGTAGTTGTATGGTTTGGATAATTATTCTTTCAGAATGTTACCATTTTAATGATGTGTTTTCACAGGTCTGAGAAAGAACCCCAGTTTAAGTTTATCTACTTCAACCATATGAATTTAGCAGAGAAAAGTACAATTCACATGAGGAAGACACCCAGTGTGTCGTTGACTTCAGTTCATCCGGACTTAATGAAGATTCTGGGTGATATCAACAGTGATTTTACTAGGTAATTCCAACAACTTCTCAAACTAGGTGTCCCCTTTCTCGTAAGAAGAGAGACATTAAAGGAATCATCTTCAAAACCAAGTGACCCAGAGCGCCTTCAGAGGGACTCACGCCCACCTTCCTGGGCGCCACTTCCAAAGAGTCATTGAGCCCAGAAGTCACTGGTCACTTGCACATGATTCCCTGAACTTTTCAAATGACTAGTTTCCTGTTTCTTGTTTTAGAATGTTTGTTTTTCACAATCCAGTCGTATGTGTAATAAACCATTGTATTTTGAAACTGTTGTCTTACAGAGTGGATGAAGACGAAGAAATCATCGTGAAAGCAATGAGTGATTATTGGGTTGTTGGGAAGAAGTCTGATCAGCGGGAGCTATATGTTATTTTGAATCAAAAAAACGCAAACCTGATTGAAGTAAATGGTAAATAGGATTTGATATTTGAGTAGAATTTTAATGCTACTGATATTTAAAAGCTACTTTTTCAGTGTACTAAAAAACATGCTAAATAGAACAAATCATGACTGTGGAGGTTTTAAGCAGATGCCTCTGTTGCTTAAAGGAAACCATCATTTGATCCATTCTATGTTTTTCTATAGGTTAGTTCCTTGAAAAAGTATGTGAAAAAATTTCTTGTATTTTTCCTGAAACTTGACAATGGCCAAAAGAAAATTATTTTCTACAATGCCAAATGGAAAAAAAATCCCATGGCTTTATATACTGTGTTTAAAAATGTCCATTTTTATTTCCTGTGATAAAAACACACATTTTGATGCAGAGCTGCCAGGTTCATACGGCAATTTACAGCCATCTCTGTCTGTACACGTGCAGAATAATGAGGTGCAAGTTTCCTTCTGTCTTCCAGCCAGAGCAGTTGGTCTGGTCTGCTGCATGGCATGATCCGAACAACTGCTCTGACTGCTGCTGGCAGCTCTGTGGCCCTGGAGGAAAGGGTGGTGTCATCTTCACTGCATCGGGCCCCTCCGCTGCTCTGCGTGAAACTGAGCAAGGAGTGGGACAGTTGGGGGAGTGCACCCCAAGTGCCAACTCAAAAGTTAGGTGTGAGGTTTCTTTTTTCTACATTTATCTTCTAGGGCGGATTAAATTTTTCTCTTTTATTAATACTTGTGTGAATAGTTGTATGCATTAGAAACATCATCAAGTACATGTCTCATTACAGTGGGGATTGAGGAAAGTCAAGGTAATGATGCCTCTGGAGCACTTGATTGACAGTTCAGGGTTACAGCTGGGGTTTTTCTGTCGTGGCATCAGATTTCTCAAGATTTCAGAAGTTGCGCTCCTGGCGCCCTAACCCATGGGTGTCGTAGGCACTTTGAGTGCTGGGTTTGAGCTTTCTCAGGCCCGAAGGAGCAGTGTTTCACTGTGTCAAATAGTACTGAAGTCTCATGGGCACGTTAGACTTTTTTTTCCCCTTTCTCTCGATTTGTTAACATTTCTTACCTAGGCTTCTGAGATTTAAGGTCAAAATTAATGCAGACATTTATTTATCCCCACTGTTATTCCAGAAGAATTTAAGGTACTAATACATATCATGTAAGCTTTTAAGTGAAAAGCTCTCTTCCTTACTGTTTTCTGTTCTTTTTGCAGAAGAGGTAAAGAAACTTTGTGCAACGCAGTTCAATAACATATTCTTCTTGGATTGACTGATAACGGCTCGCCAGAACATCTTTTCAAAAACAACTGAGCAAGCATTTTGTTTACCACTACAGGTTATTGGTCATATTATTGACTGGATTAATGACAATAGTAAAGCAATACTTGCTTTGAAGAATCAAATTTCTACTCAGTCTGATGATCCCCTGAGGTTTTTAGATTTTAAATATTTATGTGGAATTAATTAAAGGTAGTCTGCTACATCTCTGTCATTCCATTCTTTTGACATTATGTGAATATTTTACTGGAAAATAAGACTAATAAATTGTTAAAGTTTTTAAAATTCTGGTTTTGCAGTGAGTCTCTCTCCTCTTGCTTACTTGTGGACTACACTGGCCACTGGGTCCCTGGCTCGCCCTTGGGGATATTCTAGAGCTTCTCAGAGTTGGGGTCCCTTCCCCGGTCACTAGACCTGAAATGGTGACTTTGAGGCATCTGCCCAAAGTAATTGCTAGACATGATTTTTTCTTGAGTACTAATTTTTAGAGCACATATAATCCGAAGAACTCAATGCAAGTGCCCCAGTGTGGTCTAAACAGCGAGTATTCATTTGTCACAGAGAACTCCGAGTAGCCACAACTCTGTATGCATCTTCACAGCTGAGACGTAGCCGGACTGAGTTTGATTTAACTTCACCTAACTTTTGGTGGTCTGGACATCCCAGAGGTTGGGTGAAAACTGGCCAGGCATGGTCTGGAAAAACCAGTACTACCCTGGCCCTGAAGGGAGCTCTCCACAGTCCCCTTCACTGAAGCTGCATGAGCCTGCCAAGTGAGGGAGGAGAGGGGGAACTGACTTCTCATCAGTTTGAAGCATTGTCATTGTCACCCAGTCTTACATAATTCACAATTTCCATTATTTCCTCAACCCAGAGGTTACTTGAGATTGTGTGTTTTCGTTACCAATGATATGAGGCTTTCTTTATTGTGTGCATTCGTTGCCGACTTAACTGCAGCACAATTAAATTGTGGTCTCTGCTGTATTATTTGAAATTGTTGCACTTTTCAACCTAAAATGTACTGTGTTTTTGTCATTGTTCATTCTCTGTTGCGTTCTGGTTTCCAACTCTATGTGTTAATTCAAACTTTTTCATTTAGTTGCTTAACTTTTCTATGCCCTTACTAAATGTTTGTCTTCTTCATCTGGTTCCTCCATCATGATTGTAGTTTTCTTCCCTGTGAGCCTGTCAGCTTTTGCACAGCTAGTATGGAAGATGCATATGAGTAATGCATCTTTTTGCTTGTTGGTCCTTTTATTATTATTATTATTATTATTATTATTTTTTTTTTGTGAGGAGATCAGCCCTGTGCTAACATCCGCCAATCCTCCTCTTTTTTTGCTGAGGAAGACGGCCCTGGGCTAACATCTGTGCCCATCTTCCTCCACTTTATATGGGACGCCGCCACAGCACGGCTTGCCAAGCAGTGCGTCGGTGCGCGCCCGGGATCCGAACCAGCGAACCCCGGGCCGCCGCAGCGGAGTGCGCGCACTTAACTGCTTGCGCCACCGGGCCGGCCCCCTTTTATTATTATTTTTATCTGTATCACGCAGATGTTTGCTTTAAATTCTGTTTTGTCTGTTTTTACTATTGCTTGCTATTCCAATCATCTTGATTAGAGTTTCTTCATCCATCTTTTTCCATATCTTTATTTTCATCCTTTCTCTACGGTTTTGTTAAGATGTTGCCCTTGTAAAGAGTAACGCTGAATTTGGTTTTGTTTTTTTTTGTGAGGAGGACTAGCCCTGAGCTAACATCCGATGCCAATCTTCCCCATTTTTTCTTGAGGAAGATTGGCCCTGGGCTAACATCTGTGCCCATCTTCCTCCACTTTATATGGGACACGGCCACAGCTTGGCTTAACAAGCGGTGCGTAGGTGCATGCCTGGGATCTGAACCTGCAAACCCTGGGCCGCTGCAGCCGAGTGCACGCACTTAACCGCTGTGCCAGCAGGCTGGCCCCTGAATTTGGTTTCTTTAATCCAATATAATTATCTCAGGGGTGGGCGTGTTGGGGAGTGTTGAGGGAGCTAACCCTTTACACTGGTGAGGACTGGTCTATTTGCACTTGCCTCGCCATCTTTTGTCTATTCTCTTTCCATCCTTTTTCTTTGTTGTTGTCCCTTCTCCCAGCTTTATGGTGGATGGTAGTTTCCCTCCTGCTAGTTTGGAAGCTATAGATTGTTTTTTTCTTTCTTTTTTTTTTTTTTTTTTGCTGAGGAAGATCGGCCCTGAGCTAACATCTGTGCCCATCTTCCTCCACTTTATATGTGGGACGCCTGCCACAGCATGGCTTGATAAGCAGTGTGTAGGTCTGCACCCAGGATCCGAACCTGCGAACCCAGGGCTGCCAAAGCAGAACACAGAAACTTAACCACTATGCCACCAGGCCGGCCCCCATTGATTGTATTTTTATGCTTTTAGTGGTTACCCTTAAATTTAACACAGATTATTAGCTGTTACCTTTTCTAACAGAGAGAGACTTAAAGTATTCACTTAGCCACCGACTGCACACTTGGTCCTCACCCTTGTGTAGTCATTTGGCCTTGTGTCCATGCGATGCTGTTTGCAGTGCTGTGGGAATCGGTAGGAAAGGGCCAGGGAAGGAGCCCTGTAAGAGGTGGCCTGTGAAGGACAGGTAGGATTTGGACACAGGGTGGTTACAAACACCAAAGGAGGCAGTTCAATGTAAATAACTTCATCCATTCCCCACGGCTTTCAGATTGGTTTCATCAGATTCTAAACTTAAGCACCAATCCTATACTTTGATTTTTTGAAAAACATACTGAATACACACACATTTAATACCCATATGTGTTTATTTTCATTCAACTCAGTTTTCAAAATGCAGGCATTTCAGTGGCCCAACCACATAGGGAAGCTGAAACACAGTGGGTAGTGGTATTTCAAAAACACTAAGACGGGAAGTAAAACACAAGCAATTTTATTGGTCAGAAAATTGGTTACAGTGCTTCAGCTCTAAGCTCTTTTTACATCTACTTGTCCTTGTGGCTCATTTACAAACCCAGCAAACTCTACTTTTTCTTTTTCTTACTTGTGATGGACCTGCTTGATTGAGACGCCACTGTGTCTTCTTTCGGGAGGCTCGGCGTGAAATTCGAGGATGGGGCATCCACTGGTTCCTTGATCACAGTGATGTCGACCTCAAAGTCTTGTCTTTTGGCCTCTTCCTTTCTCAAGCTATTCAGCCTAACACGAAAAGTAAACACAAGAAGGTATCCCTTTTGTTCCTTTGAAATTTCAAAACCAGTTTTTATGCTGTATATGGTGTAAAGTATTCCATACCTGGATTTCAACAGTTTTTGTAAACAAAAATGTAGTCACCACTTTGCCTGAAATAAAAAGTGATGCATTTCTAAGCGGTCCGCGATGAAATTTCCGTATACCTAAAGTGACTTTGAACCACTTTTCTCTGTAGCTAACTTAGCAGCTAGTAAGTGGCCTTTTAAAAGGCTCTTGTAGTCTTTTCCCTGGGTATAGTTTAATGATTTTTTCAACAGACTAACAGCCTTGAGGTGCACTTTACCAAGGGCAGGCGTTTGCACTCTGGACCGATATGTCTGCATAGAACCAAGCTTGGATAGTGGTTCTAGAAAAGTAAGTGTGCAGCATTTACTGGGTGCTCACCATGTGCCAGGCATTGTTGTAGACACTTTACAAACATTAGCTCACTCAATCCTCACAACAGTCCTATGGGGTATTATCTCCATCTTACAGATGAGGAAACTGAGGCATACAGTGACAGACCCTTCCCAAAGTTACCCAAGAGTTAAGTGGTGGGGCTAGGATTTGAACCTGGGCAGTCTAGATCTGTGGCCTGACCTTCAGCCACTATGCCACATTGCCTCTTTGTGCGAGCTGTGAGACACACGACGCCATGAGCCCACAGGCAGGACTCTTCCAGGCCCTCATGGGGACGTGCCACCCTTAAGAAGTTGTGTATTTTTTCTTTTGTTTTTTTTTTTGTGAGGAAGATCAGCCCTGAGCTAACATCTGCCAATCCTCCTCTTTTGGGTGAGGAAGACCGGCCCTGGGCTAACATCTGTGCCCATCTTCCTCTACTTTATATGGGACGCCGCCACAGCGTGGCTTGACAAGTGGTGCATCGGTGCGTGCCCGGGATCCACACCGGCGAACCCCAGGCCGCCGAAGCAGAGCGCACGCACTTAACCGCTGCACCACCGGGCCGGTCCCAGAAGTCATGTACTTTTAATGAAAGCACTTGGTCCAGAAACTTCTGGCAGCTACAGAAGACAGGAAAGGAAGATAACTAAGAGCTCACGACAGAGAGAAGGAGCTGAGAGGTTTCATAAAGTTACCTCGCCTCCAGTTCCTCATTTTCAATTTTCTGCTGTTTGGCCTTCGCTGCATTACATAACCTATTTTCCTTTACTTTCTCCTTGAGAGTTTCTTCATGTTTATGTGCTTGGAAGAGTGTGTTCACAAAAAAGATGTACATATTACTGATCCACGTGTTGAGCTTTTCCTTTTGTACATCCTTGGATTTTTCTTTTTTCTCTGGAAGAAAGTTTAATTACAATGAACGTTAACACAATCCTGCAGTAACGGTGGCGTCTCCGCTCACGCTCCGGCTCCGCCACTTCCCCTCGTGGGCTGTGTCCTCACCCCGTCAGGGGGCTGCTGTGCCCATGGGCTGCGAGGGGCAAGGTGACCACAGAACGCTTCAGTGATTTCCGGGGACAGGCAGGTGTCAGCAGCCCATAGCTACAATTGTCAACATTTCCTTTGAGTCTCCTGGTACCTGTATTTTTTTTCTGAATAGCTTGTCTTTTGGTTTTCTAAAATTAAAATTTCAGAAAATTTATAACATTTCCATGTTTCAGGGAAAAAAAAAACCTCTTGGCTTTTGCATACATTCTTATTATTTTCTTAATTGAAAACTGCCTTTAAAAAGAGGATTTTGTTAATCTCCATAATATATAAAGAACTCACAGAACTGAATAACAGAAAAACAAATAACCTAATCAAAAAATGGGCAGAGGAAATGAATAGATACTTCTCCAAAGAAGATATACAGATGGCCAATAGGCACATGAAAAGATGCTCAACATCACTAGTCATCAGGGAAATGCAAATCAAAACCACACTAAGATATCACCTTACACCCGTTAGAATGGCTATAATCACCAAGACAAAAAGCAACAAATGATGGAGAGGCTGTGGAGAAATGGGAACCCTAATCCACTGCTGGGGGGAACGCAAACTGGTGCAGCCTCTATGGAAAACAGTATGGCGAGTCCTCAAAAAATTAAAAATAGAAATACCTTATGATCCAGCTATCCCACTGCTGGGAATCTATCTAACGAACCTGAAATCAACAACCCAAAGAGGCTTATGCACCCCTATGTTCATCACAGCATTATGCACTATAGCCAAGACATGGAAGCAACTCAAGTGTCCCTCAACTGATGATTGGATAAAGGTGTGGTATATATATACCACGGAATACTACTTAGCCATAAAAAAAGACAAAATCGTCCCATTTGCAACAACATGGATGGACCTGGAGGGTATTATGTTAAGTGAAATAAGCTAGAAACAGGAAGACAAACAGTGCTTGATTTCACTCATATGTGGAACATAAACCAACATACAGACAGATAGAAGTGTTTGGTGGTTACCAGGGGCTCGGGGAGGTGGCACAAGGGGTGGAGGGATGCACTTATGTGGTGACTGACAACCAATAACGTACAACAAAAATTTCACAATAAAAAAAAACCTGCAAAAAATAAAAATAAAAAATAAATTAATTAAATAAATAAATAAAAAGAGGACTTTGACTCTGAATAAGAAGGTAGGTAAAATTATTGACCTGGTAAGGAGTTGCTTCATGTCTGCTAAGGCCAACAGATACCCACTTTGGAATGTGTTTAAAATAGTTGATTCTGGGAAGATAACACTTTGGATAGTTCTATCATATCAATAGGATCTGGGATCTTTCAAAACAGCAATGATTTTTAGACTATGTCTATGGCTTGGGCGACTCCACTGTATGATGGTGAGGCTAGGGGAGGAGTGTGGGGGCAGGTACTACGTACAGGAAGGTAGGATTCTGTGAACAATCCATCCTCCCTCCCCAGGAGCCACGTGGAGGGCCCAGAGTGGAGGACTAATAGGTAGAACCTTGATACCAATGCCAGATTATACAACGACTGAGGGAAACCTTCATCTGCACTTCCCACATGAACTCTTAGGTTCTAGAATATCAGGATAACCTGTGGCAGGCCTAGGCCTGGAGATGTGTGGTAGTAACTGACGAAGACCAACCCACTGGGATTGCTGGCCCTGTCCCAGGCTTCTGGGCACCACGTCAAGGGTCTTGCACAGCCTCTGCTAAGCAGCAGAGTGTAGCAGGTAAGAGCACAGCCTTGAGCCAAATCGCTTAGACTCAAGGCTGAGCTCTGGCACTTCCTAGCTCTGTAACCTTGGCAAGTTAATGTCTCTGTGCCCTCGTTTCCTCATCATCTGCCAAAGGGGAACCTCACAGGGGTGGCGTGAAGATTAGATGCATTAATACAAGTAAGCATTAAGTGCCAGGCAGAGAGTAAGCGCTCAGTAGTAAGCTTGTGGTGTTCCCACAGGCCACGTCTGCCAAAGCAAATTATTACCTTACATACTGTTATAAAATAAAAAAGACAAGTCAAACACTGGGAGAAAATATCAGTAAAACGTATTAGACAAAGGATGACTTGTATCCAGCATACATAAAGAACTCTTTTTTTTTTTTGGCAAAGAAGATTGTCCTTGAGCTAACATCTGTGCCAATCTTCCTCTATTTTACACATGGGTCACCACCACAGCATGGCTTAATGAGTGGTGTGTAGGTCCGCGCCCAGGATCCGAACCCACGAACTCCAGGCTGCCAAAGCAGAGCACACAAACTTAACCACTATGCCACCAGGCCAGCCTCAAGAACTCTTATATGAGTTCTTTTTTGCTTGTCTCAATGAGACAAACAGCCCAATTAAAAAAATTTAAACACACTACTAAGTGTTGGAGAAGACATGGAGAAACTAGACCTCCTCATATGTTACTGATAGCATGTAAAATGATGTGGCCAATTAGGAAAACAGTTTGGCTATTTATTTTAAAAGTTAAACATACACTTAGCATATGACACAACAATTCCACTGCTACGTATCTATCCAAGAGAAATGAAAACATAGTCACAAAGACTTACACACCTACATTGCTTATTCATGATAGCCAAAAAGTGGAAACAACTCAACTGTCCATCAACTGATGAATGGATAAAATGTGGTATATCCAGACAATGGAATACTACTCAGCAATACAAAGGAGCACAGTACCTGCTACAACATGAATGAATCCCAAAATAATTATAAATGAAAGAAGCCAGATGCAAAAGACATATGATTCCATTTATATGAAAATGTCCAGAAAAGGCAAATCCATGGAGAGAGAAAGCAGATCACTGGCACCAACTGGCCCATGGGCACCCCTAGCACTCCATGTGCCTCACCCACACATACCTCCACCCTGTGGCCAGCTCCCTGTGTGTGCTCCTGATGGCAGTGAGAGTGAGCTTTGGCAGATGGCTAGTAAGCCCACACAGAAAGCTGGCCCAAATCTGTGGGCCAGGGAGAGACCACAAACTTGAGCTTTAGCACCAATCTTGGAAAAGCAAAAAGAAAGCTGTCAGCACTTGCCCTGGTACACTGCAGGATCAAGAGACGGCATACAAGCTTAAGAATTCTGCCATAAGAGGGAGCAAGAAATGTGGAGCAGGTGCGTCCATAGACAGTCTGAGAAAGCCTCAGAACCCCTAGCAGGGCTGAAGAAGGTATTTCCCTCCGAAAGGGAGTTAGTAAAGACGGGAGGAGGTGACTGCTACTTCAAATGCAAAGACAGCAACGCAAGACTTAAAGGAACATGAAAAATCTAGGAAACATGACACCGCCAAAAGATCACAATAATCTTCCAGTGACCGGCCCCAAAGACACAGAGGTCTGCAATTTACCCAAGAAAGAGTTCAAAATAGCTGTTTTAAGGAAGCTCAGTGAGCTGCAAGAAAACACAGAAAAACAATTTAATGAAATCAGGAAAACAACACATGAACAAAATGAGAAGTTTAACAAGGTGATAGAAATCACAACCAAACAAATTCTGAAGCTGAAAAATAAAATGAGTGAAATGAAAAATGCAAGAGAGCAGAATGGATCAAGCAGAAGAAAGAATCTGTGCATTAACAGACAGGAACTTTGAAACCCAGTCAGAGGAGATCAAAGAAAAAAGAATGAAACAGAGTCGCTAGAATACGCTTAGCACAGTTTAGGCTCTGGGAATATAGCAGTGGTTATAACTAAGTTTCAAGTAGTGATACCTGCAAAAAAGAGAAACTAAGGCAGGGTCAGGGGGCAGATACAGGGTGGAATGCTATTTTAAGAGAGTAGTCAGGAAGATCTTATTCTTGAGGTGAAATGGGGCCTATTTAATCCTTGCCACAGTTCTTAGGTCAGCATTATTCTGGTCATTTGGTTGTGTTGTCTGAAAGCCCATCTCCGGTAGACTCTTTAGGAAGGGCTTGTGAGAACATGTTCCTCGAGTTCACGAACGGCCATAAGAGTTAGTCTGTAGCCTTCATATCTTGAAGTCAAACAGAAAGTCCCTAGCTCATATTTCCTCTCCTTGAGGAACTTTTGCCCCTACTGTCTCATCCCTCTCAGTTTGAATTCTACTCCTAGTGCTTTCTCCTCAGTATGGAGGTTTTCCTGGAAGGAGCTTTGGTTTGTTCGCTGCGAGAGTTTCTAGGGCCCGACTGCCCTAGCCCCTCAGCCTTCCTCTGGCCCCTGTAATCATTAGTAAACTGGAGTGTACACAGTCTCACCCTGTTTCAGTTGCTGTTCTCAGATGGGCCTTCCATGCTTTCCCATGAGTTCTTGGGAATTTTGAGTTCTCATGTTCTCAGGTCTATAGATACCCAACTGCTTCTCTCTGTCTTTTATGTCTGTTACTTTCTTTTGCAGCCCTTTTACATTCTGATACCATGCAGGTTCTGTAGCAGTTGGTTTGTCCTTCTCTACTCATATTTTGGCTTTCATGCTGATACCTTCTCACAAAATATGGTTGTATATGCAGTTTATGGGTTTGGGGTTTTGCTATCCTAATTGTGCTGTGTTTATAGGGGAATGTAGGGAGATGAAAAAACCTACACCACGGCCACCCCCATCTTCCCAGAATTCCCACTGTGTGGTTTCCATGTCACTCTCTCTTTCCTAGTTAAGAAACAATGGTCTATTATTTTCATTTTTTATCTTTATCAAGTTTTCATATCTTGGTTATGCTAATTTTGTTAAATGAACTGCAAGGTTTTATCTTATTTTACGCTTTGGAGTTTCAAAAAAAATAATATAATAATAATTCTTATATAAGTGCTTCCTTAAATTTTTTAAAGAACTTGCTCATAAAAATTAAATTAGGGGGAGTAATTTTTTGGTAGTTTTTCTCCCATGATTATTCAGGCTTATATTTTCTTT